GATATCCAACAATATAGATATAAGAGTATACCACAGTGACAGCAAATACTGTGGCAAATGTTACAGTATGTCACCTGTACAACCAGTGACATGGATTCATTTATGTGTTGTTGTTGTTTTAATCAAAGCCTTGTTAACAAATACAAAGGACATCACAGCTGATTGACTGACTTTAGCTAAAAATAAAGGAATTTCAGTTCCAACAATAAAATAAAATACCAATCAGGGTTCATTTTACATAATACTACCGACAATGATTCCACATCCTAAGAGAGACAATTTGGTTATAGGATAAATATTCTCCACCATCCACCTGCTACGTAGCTTAAGACCTACTGTAACATACAGTGTGTGTGGTTTATCATTGTGTGTCTAAGCTTTACCCCATAGTCGCAGTCACTCGTTAAGTGATCATCATTAACGAGTCAGGTTTCTTCATCAATGATATGATTGCCGTGGGTTAATATATTGCATTTAAAAATGTTTTCATCTAAACATGGCTATTATCATTTTAAGCGATGCGTAGCGGTCAACAACATACAGTGTGACATTTTAATTAATGTGTTATGCGTCATTCTGTTACGTCTAACTTATTAAGTATATTAAGTCGATGCATGGTGAAGTAGCCCTTCCTCTGTGTGAAACAGTAATCTGTCGCCATCTTGTGGCAAAAGAAAACATTTTTTAGACACACTGTACAACTTACCATTGAACTCCTGCCACCTTTCAGTAAAAGGACTCATTTCAGGTGCCACGGTGTCATTATTGATTTTCGTCATGTTATGGAATGAGACATGCAAATATTGACTGAGGAGTAACCTATGTAGAATAAATTATATGCAATTTATCCTCCGTGAAATGTTAAAAACAAGTGAATCAAAGTTTTACCTGCATGTCTTGCTAAACTCCCCTGGCATCTGTCCAGCAGAGAGAAGTGCTGCTTGAGAAGTTTAACCTGGAAATGCATTAAAACAAACTGCTGACCTTTATTCTGAAGATCCTATTATCTATCACAGATTTATTATGAATAATAGACTTTCTTTGATCAAAGTTTATGGCATTCCCTGAAAGTAAAAAAAAAAAAGCATCTGACTGTGCAACTGTACAACAGGTCATTCACCAATCTACCCCAAGCTTAATATACTGCATATGACTAATAGTTCCTGTCTGTCTGGCAGTGTTTCTACAGCAACTGCAAATAGTTCATTGATAATGATATTATTTCAGAGTTAACATCCTTTTGCATTTTGCATTCACACCATTTTCTCTAACCCTCCATAGTCTATACAATCACTTGTCTTCACAGAAGTTCAGGTAGTAAACGGATTGATAATGTGACATATTTCATCTACTGTTGATCTTACCCGAAAGCATTAAGTCACTTGATACATTACAAGATCTTTTCTATTAAAAGAGAGGCTGCGAGTGATACTTGTTAACAACCAAAGTGAAGTCTTGTGATCTCAAGTAAAACAATTAAGGAAGTCATCTGAAAATATCGGAGGAGAAATTAAAGATAAGGTTCATTATTTAACTGCCGTGACTTGTTTTCCTGTGTTGCTAATGATAATTAACATGCAAATGAGCCCTGGGAGCTAAATAGAGGTTCATAATTATACTGTGGAACATCATGGTTATAAATGAGATGTGTCCAGGTAGAAGACAGGACAGTAATTGGGGTTGTGACTAAAGAACCTGTAACACAGAAAGTGGGTATAATAATGGTTTTACTTTATGTTTTGTGCATCAGTTCCCAGTAGTGGGTGTAGAACATAATCATGATTACAAATACGTTTTGGTCTGAACTAGTACCCTTCTACTCATCCCTGGCCTGCATTTTAAAAAAAACCTTGTCCTCCTTGACTTTTTTTAGTCACCAGTATTCACTCCCTGCTCTTCTATTTTAAAAACACCAACAAATGGATTTTATCCCACACTAATGAGCACGATGGTGCTATTAATAAAACAAGTGTATATGCTAAATCAGCATCAGAATATAAGATTTTTTTTTTTTTTTTTTTTTTAGCAGAACACCTAAAACACAACCTTCAATTGTATCCTCTTTCTTATTTCTGTGATGACACAAGCAGTATCTACATATGGCCTGTCACTGGTCTTCATCCCTTTTTAGGTATGACTACAGTACAGAATTATCGGAGGTAATAAATTCTAAATAGCTTCTTTTTTTTTAACTTAACGAATGAAATGTGATCTGGGACGTCATCTTGTCTGAATGCTGCAGCGCGAGAACACTGGCTCTGCAGGTAAATGGATCAGAGACACAAATTGAAAGAAGTAAATTACCTCCAATGTTAGCTTGCCTACACAACCGTGCATTTCAGACATCTAACTTACAAATGACCGTTGTTTTAACGGTATGTCAATAACTATTTCAACTATAAGCATGTCTTCCTTCACACACATTCGAAAAATCTAATAAGTGAAATGCCAATATAGTGTTTTTGAGGGAACAGCCGAGATGCCGCTTAAATTGTGCTTCCAGCTGGGCTTGTTTACTTCCGCCTAACGTCACTTTTCAACATTGGTGTGGTACCATTACGCATGAGGAGAAGTTTGCCTTTCCGGAAAGCCCTGAAGGCACCATTTAGCATATTACAAAATTACTGAAAGCTTAAGAAACAAATGCACCATCATTTTGAAAATGAAATCTATAAATGCAACTGTTTCAAAGCTTATGAAGGACAACATCCCTGTCAGCTCCCTAAATAGACAGCACCCTTCCCAAGCTAACGCTAGCTAACCAGAACTGTCACTGTGTTGGCATTCAACATGCCAACATTTAATGTGAAGCTTTCCGGGTAGCAAATCAAAAGAATATTTTATTACAAACAGGAGGTGATGATGAGGTCACTTAACGGACTAACAATAAATAAACGAAACTACCGGAAGTGAGGTAAAATTCTCCATGATACTTTATGATATGTCTTCTCGAGGACACGTGTGTAACACTTTACTCTTCAAGCGCGCAGTTGATTTCCATCCAACCAATGCGTAATCCAATATGGTGACCGGTTTCTTCCGCGCACACCGCAGAACTACGTTCGGAACAGCAACAGGCTCCGCAGCGATGTTGACACGGTGGACATTGTCGAAATTGCAAGTCGTTAATCTCCACAATCACTTTTACCCAAACACAAAGCGCAAAGATAAAGGAAAACAAACACAGAGCACACACATTCACAGATTAGACTTTGTGTTAACACCACTTGAGTGATGAATGAATGGAGCGCCATAGTCTCTATTCTCTGCTGTGGGCTACATCCATGATCTGCAGGATACCTTTTCACCTTTTGACATGTAATACTCATCTATTTATTTAAGGCTACTTGAATATTCCAAAATAAAGGAATAAATCATTTCAAGGTGACCTTATACAGTACATTTGAGGACTGTTGTGTTTTTTTTAAGTCTGCATTCTTAAATTTGATTTTTTTTTTTTTAAGACACAACAGCAGCAGAGTTATATTCTGGCTTTGTAACGATGGGTTGCTGGATGAATTGGAATTATGACTTCTGTACTTTTCAAATCCTGCTTATTGTGGCCTCATGGTGAAAGTGAGATCCCATGTAAATAAACATATTTAGAAGTCCCTCACAAAAAACACAAGCGGGACAAACTATGGAGGCTGATCATTGGCCAAGTATTAACACTATGAAATGTAGCTTATTTACATTACTTGGCTTGGATAGTTAATATCTACTTATGTCAACCTATTTAGCTGAAACAATTCCCATATTAGGTTTGCTGAGAAGTAAGCCAACAATGTGTTTCTGCTCAAAATGTTCCTGACTATGACCAAATATAATTTGAAGTCGTTTCACTGCATTACTGTACAGGGAAAGACAACTTAAATGACACTGTAAAACATTAAAAATGTCCTTATTTCCAATCTCTCATAAATAAAAAATAAATGTTTTCCTTCAGAGGTTTGCTGAAATTCTCCATGCAATCTTGCTCAGGATTACCCTATGACCATGTAAACGTTTACATATTGTGCGTGTTTTAGGTCATTTTATTGTACCAATTATTTTAGAAAGATAAGCTTTACATTATAACGCATTAACAATTTCCCTGTATTTGTCATATTTTCTTTTCTTCTCTTCAGAATGACTCCTCCCATGTACAATCAGAAGTTATATTACTGCAAACATTATTTTTTTTTTTTTTTAGAAAATTGTCTTAATGTTTAAACTCATAACATATTTTCCTTCCTATCTCGCTCCAAACTAAAGCGGATAACGCTCTTGTTTTACCATCCAAACTCTTTGATATTACGGCCTCTCCTTCTGCAGCGACATCTGGTGGACACATGTGGGCAAGGCAATCCCAGTTGTGTTAAATGCAACATTTATGCGTTGTAGTGTGTTTTGTTTGCTTGTTTTTGTTAATACATGGATAAACACAAATGACACTATGTCAATAGACAAGCCAATATGTAAAACATGTACCACTCCATCATAGAGGTAGATACTATGAGAGGTATGTGAGGAAGTAGCGGTTTTATTTTGTCATTTGGCTGAACTTGCTCCTGACATAATTATTTCCAGAACCTACACATGAAATAGCATTTAAAATGGTCCAATGTATGCTGGGGAAAGGCCTATTTATTTGCCACATTCCCCCTATGGTGTAATACACACAGATATGTTACAGAGACATACAGTTGTTCAGTATATATTATCATAATGCCCACCTCTACATTTTGGTATTACTGAACTTTGTTGCCATGCTAGGTTTATTAACAACAGCAGTACTTTCTGACTGTGACAGCCCGGATTTTGTACGAGGCTCTGCTTTCACTCACAATCACATTTATAATTTTTGGCGAATCTAAAAATGTTTACATCAGTCGGGGAGCCTTATCCATTGCCAAAACAGGCCTTCGATGATTTATAACTAAACATATGACCAGCTGAAAAATCATCCAAATGTAGGGTTAGTGTAGGCTTACAGTTGTTGAACAAACACATCAATACCGTTTTGAAGACACTGCATCATTTATTTAATGAAGTGCAAGAACCAACAATTACACAAACCAACAACATCTTAGTTCGTGGTCATCACCTGGAAGAAAAAGAAAGCATAAAGAGAATATGTTAAAATGCTCCACTAGATGGCACTGGAGCACCTGTGAGTAGCTGAGTAACTCGAGTTCAACTTGAGATATTTAGTAATGTGTATATTTAAATTAGGCAGAAATTAAAAATGCACAAATAGATTTTTGCTCCTTTTAAATAAAACAATTTTCCAGATGTTTTGTAAAATATTACAAGCCATGTAATAAGCACAAACAAAGGTTTGTCCATTAGTAGTTTAAGGTCTTTCTGCTTTTTGATTTGATCATAAAGCCAGTAAAAATAAACACAAATGTATCTATCGTGAGCTCTTTTGCACAAATATTCCACTATCCAATGCGTTTTCACTCACGTTGTTGATCCAGGAGATGTAGCTGCTGACCCGAGTGAAGACGGAGGGCTTCTTGGGGTAGTTGCAGCCCATGCTGGAGCCGAAGCTCACCACGCCTTGGACGTCCCAGGAGCCATCAGGGTTCTGACAGTTCAGGGGACCGCCGGAGTCTCCCTGAAGGGGAACAGAGACGAAAAATCACAGAAGATGGAAAACGCATTTGTATAATTAAATGTAGAGATACATTTGACTGGAGGCTGGGATTTAGCTTTACAGCGACTGTTATTAAACATGACATGAGCTTGTAAAATAAATGGAATAGGACTCACGTTGCAGCTGGCCAGCTGTCCGTCTCCTCCAGCACAGACCATATTTTGGGTGACCAGGCTGCCCCACCAGTCTGGCTTGGTGCAGCTGGCGTGGTCCACCACGGGCAGGAGGGCCTGCTGCAGGATGTCGGCAGTAGCACCTCCAGCTTTGGGGGAGAACGGGGCATTTCAGATTCAGGGCTGCAGTCAAGACCAAGTCTATTCCAAAACTAGATTCACTCGGTCCAGTTTCCACTCAAAAGAGGGTGAAAACCAAGTTTCTTAAAGATCTGAAAGTTTTCTAGGATTTGTATCATCTTGTTTGACATGTTTCTCATTAATTTCACTAAGGACTTCTTCAATGGCGAAATTATAAGAATCAGGTGTAAGTTCTCAAAATCTCTGTGTTACCAGATGTAACATTCATTTATTTTTTGATTAGTGGAATGAAAAACAGGACTCAACCACCACAGCCCTGTTCAAATTCAAGCCCAGTGTTACTCAAATGTATCTTAGCACTGAGAGGAAAAGGTGGAATAAGTTGCCGTGCTCACACAACTTTGACAGGGGAGGTTGATATAACATGAAAGATATAAGAGGACATTAATGCTGCCAGCCTTGGATGACAGTTTCTTTTTTATTTTTGAAATTGATAGGACTTACTCCAGAGACGACCCCAGCCGGTGACGTAGCAGGGAGCATTGTTGGGCAGGATGTCACCAGAGTTGGGAAGACAGGCAGCCTTGATGGCGTCAGAGAAAGTGACAGGAGTTGACAGCTTGATAAGGGCGATGTCGTTACTAAAGCATGAATGCAAACACACCACATTTAAAAGAAAAGGAATGAGCATTAGCAGCAGAACACTTGAGATCACAGAATAGTCACGGCAGCATAATATACAGAGTAAAAGGTGGAGAGAGGTGACGGAGCCCACCGGATTCTGTAAGAGTCCCACTTCTCGTGGACGACGATCTTGGCGGGGCTGATGGCGATGGAATCGGCCTCATTGTTGGTCTTCATGCTGTGTTTTCCCAGGTAGACTCTGTAGGTGCGACTGCTGCTTGGTCAGAAAAAAAACACAGAAACAAGGGTCAGCCTTGCTTCGAACTCAAAGTGAATTAATACATTTACCAGTGGTAGCAAAAGTGGAATTACAGATTATTAATAATCTGATTTCTCTAAAATTTATTTTTCTTAAATTATTTAATGTAAATAAAAGAAAATGAACAATTAGTGACCATAGCTCATCGAGGCCCTCTTCTATTTAAAGACTGAACCACATTGTTATGCCTATTGTGTATCTTACAGCTACATTAAAGTACACAAACTTATTTATTCTTCCGTTGTGCCTCTATGGCCCTGTCTACCATGGGCCTGTCTCTCTTTGTCCTCTGTGCCTCGTACACCTTCTACTTTTTAAACACACCCGATGCAGTGAGCAGCAGTGAGGACCCACTGGTTGGAGATCAGGGTGCCACCACATGTGTGGTAGTAGCCGCTTCCACTCTTGTACTGCAGAGACACCTGAGGAGGAGAAGAAAACGGTGACGTGTTTTATGTCTTGGACAGAAATGGACAGAAGACACAGAATTTAGAGAAGTCTTGAAGGGGCGAACCTGCCAGGGCCAACTGTGCTCACGGACATCATCTCCACCAACCACCCTGGTGAGGGTGGGAGGGAAGGTGGGCAGGCCACACCCGTAGGCTAAGAAACAACAGTACAGAGTGGTGTCTTAACATCAGCAGTACCATAAAATGTTATTCTTTAAAAATGTTTCAAATCAGAATTTTAGCACAAGGATAAAACATAAATCTGTTAAACACATTGCTTCTTATCAAACATAGAGACCACTTCATGTAAAAAGAATGTGGACAGCAACACATTTAACTGCCTGGTCAGAAGAGTATCAGAGCTTACCACCAGCGACAAACAAAGCCAAGATCACGAACTTCATTGTGACTGTTCAGTAGAAGCTAAGGGAGCCATGCTCCTCCTTATATAGCGTGTGAACAGACCTGTTGCTTAACATTTGCCTTCAGAGCAGCCAGGAAAAGTTGGTGTGGAAAAAGAAATCAACCTTGGAGATAAGTAACCACAGATATCCCCAAATACACCTTATCTCCTCACCTCAACATCTGTGTGAACCTCACAGGTGTCTCACTGTGACATGAGTTGGTCACGTCTTTTAACTCTGAATAACAGGTGATGTTCACGGTCTGTGGCTGTACGCTCATTTGAAAATGGTAAGTCTGTCTGTATTGGTTAATCAAAGACATTAAAAGTGCTGTCCTATTTTTATACATGCATGTACACAATGTATGGAATTAAAATATAAGTTGCTAGGCTCAGAGGTCAGTTTATGGTTTATATAATAATATTAACAATCTCAAAAACTGCAATAAAACGGGCACACAAGTGTTTCAATGTGATTATAAAAGGTTAGGACACGTAAAACACTTCAGCTGCAAATAATAAAACATGATTGTTTTGTAGATGGCATTACTAAAATTAAGTATAATGAAGTATCAGGTAGTATCAGCTGCTGTGTGATGAAGTTGCATTTTACCGTAATATGTTATAAACATTACAAAGAGCAGATATTGCAATCATTCCTTATGCACAGACTTGTTTTTATAGATGTATGCATGTTTTACACATACTAATAAATACTACAGTATGGCCACAGTAAGCATTCAGTTTTTTCATGAGCAAGAAAAACGTCAGCTACTAGAGGAGGTCAGAGGGAGGGCTACATTTGTTGTGGAGTAAGGCTCTTTGCAAGACTTGTTCAAAATTATACATAACTCCAGCACACTTTGGTTTAGTACTCCTGGTCATTTCTGGCTGTTTGGATGTCCACTTAGCTCCACCCCAGTATTAAATTTGTCAGGAACATTTCCTGGAATTTGATCCAGTTTCGTAGGTTGCATAACATCATGAAAGGTATAAATATGTATATAACGTCTCCCTGCAAACGGTGGCGATACAGACATGATGAAGTTTGTTGTTTTTGCTCTCTTTGTTGTTGGTGGTAAGGATCTTGCACACACACACACACACACACACACACACACACACACACACACACACACACACACACTACTGTTACAGCCATCTGTCTTGAGCCATTTTCTCTCATGCAGCTTTCTTGAGAACCTGAATGCAGATTAACAGTTGGGTTTGAAAAGTGTCTGTCTCCGTTTGCCGTTTCAGCCTACGGGTGCGGCCTGCCCACCTTCCCCCCTGTGGTGACCAGGGTGGTTGGAGGAGAGGATGTCAGGGCTCACAGCTGGCCCTGGCAGGTAAAACTAGCACATCAACTGTCTGACAAAGACTTATTCTAGACTGCCGACAGCATGAGGGAGAAGTAAAGTATAGGCTGATAGTTATACAGTTCAGTATGTGACAAGGAGAATAGAACTCTTTTAATATCAAGCAATGTTGAATTTTGAGTTGAATGGAAAGCTTATTTATAGCATCTTTCAAACACAGAGGCAATTTCAAATTTCTTTACACAGGGCCGAGAAATGCATCAGAACAATGACAATAAAAAGGAATCCAAATAAGTTAAAATTTAATAAATTAAATGAACAAAATAAAATATAATTAGACAAATGGAAATACAATTTAAAAGTGGCTTAAATCAGGATGCATTCAATATTGGAAACACAGCTGCATGTGTGTCTGTAAACGGTAAGTCCGAAAATAAAATTTTAAAAGTTGATTGTGTTCATATGTATGTTTTAGATTTCCCTGCAGTACAACAGGCAGGGTGAATGGAGACACACCTGTGGAGGTACTCTGATCTCTAACCAGTGGGTCCTCACTGCTGCTCACTGCATCAGGTATGAAACAGTGGAGCCCAAAACAATTCATGTCGATAGGTTATCGAGACTTAATGCAACACTGATATCTATATTAGCAATCAGTGACATGGATCAGGCTGTATGGAATCATAAAATATGTCAACTGTGAGGTGATTTAATCTGCTTTCAAGACATTTCTAGACTTAAATCAAGAAATTCCGATAATCATATTCATATTCTTCTCTCTGTCAACGTGCAGCAGTGGCAGGGAGTACAGAGTGGCCATGGGAAAGCACAACCTGATTGAGACAGAGGGGGGTGTTGTGTTCATGGGCACCGCTAACATTGTTGTGCATGAGAAGTGGAACGCCTTGTTCATCCGGTAAAAAAAATGACTTCTCACTAAGGCTATAAATTACGAGACTGAAAATCAAAAAGATTCTTTCAGTGAACTTTTGCAAGTCTTCAGATGAATCTAATCGTGTGCTTCCTCTCCAGTAATGACATTGCCCTGATCAAGCTAGAGTCCCCCGTCACCTTCTCCGACAGCATCATGGCTGCTTGTCTCCCTTCTGCTGGCTTCCTCCTCCCCCACAACGAGCCCTGCTACGTCACTGGATGGGGCCGCATCTCCAGTGAGTGCCCACTCTCCTGCCTCCATTTGATAAAAATCTAATTTAATTAATCCAGGGCTGTACGGTGGTGTGGTGGATTGCACTGTCTCCTCAAAGCAAGAGAGACCCGGGTTTGATTCCCGGGATGGATGGACTCTTTGTGTGGAGTTTGCATGTTCTCCCCGGTTTCCTCCCACAGCGTCTATGTCTGTCTTTCTGTGACAGCCCTGCGATAGTCTAGTGACTTGTCCAGCTGTAAAGATAATGGATGGATGGACTTACGTCATCAGCTCTACTAATATCTTATCTCAAATGACAAACTAGCTGAGAAAACATTATTACACTAACAGTTTATTTGTATTTAGGTTAGTATACATTATTATCTTAGTACTTTTTGTTAATTAGATAGTGACTTTATTTTTTTGTTTTTACTGCAGAGTGGTATTATTCTGAAATAAAAAAAACGTTTTTAACAGGAATTCTATAACATTAAACAAAAGTTATTTGTTTACCTAATCCCGGAGTGTTTTTTCAAAGCTACAGTCTGGTGAAACATCTGTCTCGTTGAGCTTGTGTTGGTCACCTGTAGTCTTTCACCTGAGCTAAAGTTGAGCCAGTACGCATCTCTCCTCCACACAGCCGGAGGTCCCATTGCTGACATCCTGCAGCAGGCCCTCCTGCCCGTGGTGGACCACGCCACCTGCACCAAGCGAGACTGGTGGGGTTCTATGGTGAAGGATACCATGGTCTGTGCCGGGGGAGATGGAGTTGTGTCTGGCTGCAACGTGAGTCCAAAATGACACAAAACGACACATTGCACTGTAGCACCAATGCTTTCTGAGATCGATAAACTGGAGACTCATGTTTCCTCAACCTGTTTGTTTTATCTTTTTTGTATATTCCTTAAATATTTACTGATTCCAGCCTCTTAAGCGTGATTTTTTTTTTTGTCTTCTATGACATTCAAATGCCTTTCTTTGTTCAAAACCAGAAGATATTTAGTTTACCCGTCTTTGCGACAAATTATGGTCCAAACAATTATTTGATTAACAGAGGAAATCTATAGACTGTAACAGTTATTGTCATTATTGATCAAACAGTAAGTGTTCTGTCCCTTTACGTTTTAGTCTTTTAAATGAGATTCCTCCGCTGATACTGTATGTTATTACCCCCACAACTATCTCTCCTAAAATGCCTTTTTGTGAATAACGTTCAGTACTTCAGAGGAAGGGTGTCAGTTAAAAAGGTCTACAAAATATAAAGAGATGCTCTTCTCACATGACTCAGGGTGACTCTGGCGGCCCTCTGAACTGCCAGAAGACTGATGGTGCCTGGGAGGTTCACGGCATCGTCAGCTTTGGCTCCGGGCTCAGCTGCAATTTCCCCAAGAAGCCCACTGTCTTCACCCAAGTCAGCTCCTACATCGACTGGATCAGCTCTGTAAGCTCCTGAACCTCTCACTACATCACTGCTGATTTATTTGGGCTTATTTCCTTCCGATTTAACAGTCAAGAATCTTTTACTATAAGAATAAATATCCTGTGTGTTACTGCTGAAAACATGATGCTGCACAAAATATAACATGTCTCTATCATCTCTTCCACAGACAATGGTGGCCTATTGAGTGAACGGGCTCATGGGATCAATGCACATATCAAATAAATAAAATGTGGAACTGCAAATGGAAAAAAAAAAAAAAATTCAAGTTTTGTGTTTTATTTGATAAATATATCATTTATTTATTTAGATTCATGATACTTAACCAGCAGAAAAGGATCTAATGTTGAAGTATTGATGGGAAAATCCTGTCCCCAACCACCTGCTGTGTTCTCAGTCTCTCAGTTTGACTTTCCACATGTGCAGCCAGCTTTCCCAGGACAGTCCACACACTGGTTAACAGTAGCAGTATAAATACGAGCCTGTTGTTAACACAAGGTTTAGGCTCACACTACACACTCTACGGTCATGAGGAGGCTAGTGGTTCTCACTTTTCTGGTAGCTAGCGGTAAGACAGTTTAAATCTTCTCACATACATTAATGCTCATTTGCTGTAGTGTCGTCCAGGTGAATAGTCACTTATTTAAAGAGTATTAATTATCACATTATATTTGAAAAATCATTAATTGTTCAAGGGCTTTGAACTGAGCTTTTGAAACCACCTACTTTTTATGTTTAGTCTGGTGCAAAAATCACAATATACATTGCTATCCTTATCCCAGCCTACGGATGTGGCCTTCCCACCTTCCCTCCCGTGCTGAGCAGGGTGGTGGCAGGAGAGGACGTCCGGCCTCACAGCTGGCCCTGGCAGGTGAGGTCTGGTCGAAATGTGTAAAAACACGTTCCCTCTGACGACCACAGATCAGTTTGAACACTACATTTTCATTTTTCCCACTACAGACACAAGATATGACACCTAATTTAACACATTTACTCTCTGAATCGTCTATGATGTGGTGATGTTGCATTTCTGATGATGAATTCTCCACCGGAGCGCCATAGAGGGATAAGAGCTGGAATTGATTAGAGAGGAATTTTAAGGCGCAGTACTGCACTCTGTCCTCTCTCAGGTCTCGCTCCAGTCGGACAGCAGTGGGCGCTGGAGGCACGTCTGTGGAGGCACCCTCATCTCTTCTGACTGGGTCCTCACTGCTGCGCACTGCATCAAGTATGTGAAAGTCATTATATTCACAACTACAATGCAGCATATTCCTTTTGTAAAGGCTCAACAATCTGGGCGGGGGGGGGGGGGGGAGAGTTATGTAACTAAGAACTTTTGCGACTCTTATTTATCAACTCGCACTCAGTAGTGATTCAAAATGCCCAGCTCATGAAAGTATATGTATTATTTATTATGCCAAACTAAAGGTCTTTGCCAGGAAATACTCCTCTACCCAACAGGAAATGATGCGCTTTACTTTTTATGTGACCGTAAGACCCAATTCTAATCCGGCCCCTACACTCCCTTTCTTCCTACTCTCACTCTGTGTTACTCATAAGCTTTTCAAACTAAAATAGACATTCAATATTGTCATAGAGACATTACACATGTTATAAGGTGACATTGTATAAAAACAAGAAGATGTTATGATAGTTCCTGTTGCCAGCGGAAGGGGAGTTTGTCCAAAAGCTTGCCGTTGTATTCTCACAATACACCTCAGCCATGTTCACACCACACAACTTGCTGTCTTGTAATCAGAAGTCTTGAGGTCAAAGTGGTTTTCACACTACATGACCGACCGGCAACAGGGAATCGCACGCTGCAAGATCCTTCACACCTCAACGCGTCTTTATTAACTTCCCTAATGTAGATCAGTCACTTTGTTATGTGTTGCGTTTATTCATGCAAAAATCCAACACTCTAGGTGAGAGGGAAATCAGGGCTAAAGTCGTGAACTATACTCCGTCATGGAGTGGGAGGGTGTAGGGGCCGGACTGGAACTGGACCTAAGAGTTGTTGGTTTTGGCAATGAACAGGGTGGTTCTTCAAGAATTAGCAGCAATGGTTGTCATGCCTGCAAAGGGAAAGAGAAGTGTGACATGTAGAGAAGTTCAAGAAGATTTTCTTCCCGGTAAAACATTTTGTAATCAGAAAAAAAATGAGCGTACGAAAAGTAGATCTCAAATGTTACCGCTAAGCAAACAAGCATCACCTCAACAGGACTACTACGCATCTGCAATGTCCTCCATCAGCTTGATCACAGTTTTGTACACACAGGCAGAAAAGTCAATACTACTCTCTGAACCCCAGGTCATCTGACATCCCACAGCGACCGCTACAACTACAGCGTGGAGCTGGGTAAACACAGCCTGGAGACGAGCGAGGAGGGCTCGACAGCCCGGAGAGCAGCCACAATCATCCCTCATGAGGACTACAACATCATTCTGAGCCGGTAACAGACGCTAAGCGAAGAGCAGTATCAGCAAGCCACCATAAGCAGCCACTGATGGCATTTCCTTTTAAATGGAGGAAGTTGATGCAGCAAAACATTAACACGGCATAAACCCTATTTAGTTTGTCATTACTTTTTAAATGTGGGTGCATTATTTCATCTTCTGCAGTAACGACATCGCCCTGATCAAGCTGTCCTCCCCGGTCACCTTCTCTGACACACTCGTGCCCGCCTGCGTGCCAGACCAGGGCCTCGTCCTGCCCCATGGGGCTCCCTGCTACATCACCGGCTGGGGTCGACTCTCCAGTGAGTGAGCACGTCTCAGCACAACGCAGCACTGTGAATCACCCTGTGAATCATCGCTTAGCCGTGTCTAGTTCACCGTCTGTGCACCTGTCATTCAAGCGAGGTCAAATGTTGATGTCCAAGCCAAGAATATTTCACAAGCATGACTTGGTCAGTAAAAATGCACATTCTGACTTGACTGAGGTGTTTTGACCTTCACAACCAGGATAAATCCTGGTTTTTTTATGTAAAAAAGTTTTTATTAGGTTTAATATTACGCTGAAACTGACTTGATTTTACTCTGGTTACTGTCATGTAGTAAGATCTGATAGAAAGCACGGTTTGCAGCACTCTTATCAGTCCATCATATAGGCATATGAGACTTATTACTAGAATATGAGGGCTTAACCACTCTTGCACTTGTGGACTTTGTTTAAGCTCAGTTTGAAGTTGCAACAGAAAGGAGAGTTTGCTAGTACTAAAGCGATCTGTAAAGTTGTGCTATACAGTACACAACTATAATGGTAGAAATTAGTATAATCCAACATAATCAAGGTAGCACTCTTGCAGCTAAATGGCTCAAGAGGCATCCCATCTACAGCACATGGGACGCCGTTAGTTTCCAAGTCTCTAAACCTGGACAAAAATGATCTCCTTCCAGCACTGCACCTGTCCCCCCGAGTGAACCTCCCTCAACAAAAAATGTTGTTTCCCACCCAAGTTAAGCCCATTTCGTCCCCCGCAGCCAGCGGCCCTCCGGCTGACATCCTGCAGCAGGCTCTCCTGCCGGTAGTTGACCACGATACCTGCTCACAGCCCGACTGGTGGAGCGTCCTGGCAACAGACAAGATGGTCTGTGCCGGAGGTGACGGCATCACTGCAGGCTGCAATGTGAGTTCATACAAGGAAGGGTGATCTCAAGATGCAACAGGAATTTAGTGGTCAATTAAAGCCGCTATGTCATCTGTAAACTTTCCATCCAGCATAAAACACTCAAGGAAAGGGAGATTCAAGAATAGGACTTTTACTTTGAAACGGTCTAAAAGAAAAATTCAGCCTGACGAAGTGATCATACAGTACCTCCTTAGTTTCTGAGCATATAAGCTGCAAGCCAACAGTGTGTGTGCTGACCTGCAGGGAGACTCTGGTGGTCCCCTGAATTGCCAGAACCCCGATGGCTCCTGGGACGTCCACGGTGTGGTGAGCTTCGGTTCTGGTCAGGGCTGCAACGTCCTCCAGAAGCCCACCGTCTTCACACAAGTCAGCTCCTACATCGACTGGATCAACAACGTGAGGAACATTTTCATTTTGTGATTACCTTCCCAGCATAAACAATGGAGCCTGAAGCCAACAGCTAACTTCCTGTTTTCAAAAACAGGAAATGTATTAAAATTATGTTTTGTATCGTTTACTCCGCAGGCTATGACCAACCACTGAAGAAGAAGCCGTTCAAGTGCTTTTGTCAGCAATAAGAAGAACTATGATTTATAATGTTAGAGCAAAGTAAAAGTAAAACGCTGTTTACCAGTGCAAACAAATGGAATGCAGAGTCATTGGTGTTAACTTAAAGCTAAAGTACTGATCATGTCCAGGACGAGAAGTCATTTTTAAACCATGCAGATCCTCGGCAACTATTTAGCATCCAGATGTTTGTGTCAGCTTTCAATACAGTAGCTGCATACAGAAGCACTGGTGAACAGTAACAAAATTAGACAGAATGGATGTTTAGGTGATTATTGCACGAGTCAACATGTAATTAATTATGCACACAACTTTTCAGTAATCACAGCTCTTAAAACACTGGGTTAGTTCACAAATACTTTAATTTCTCATAAATATTCATGAGATAAATTGGTTTTTACTCTTCAGAGAAAATAAAAAGATTTCCACAAACAAATCAGAATGATCATAGAAAAGCAAAATTTCACAGTACAAGAAATACAGACTTAAGTAATTAAAAAAAGCAATAATAAATGAACAAACAGCATGTGCTTCGGACACTCCTCTAAGTAAAACAGAAAGCGACCGCTAAATCATTTCATCAACGTAAAACATTTTGACTACAAAGTAATAAAATCAATCATGTAGTTAACTGGTCCTTTGCAAATGAGGTACAATGACGACGTCTGCAGTACTGAACATAAGTAATAAATACAATATGTGGCGAGTTTCCACTTGGAAAACAAGACGGAGGAATGGAGACATTGAAACGTTGTATTTCAATGACGAACCTGAAGTGACTCAATTACCTTGTTGCCTTCCGCTGAACAGAATGTCAACATATAATATGACCAGCTGACAATGACCGAGTAGCTTCCTTTGTATTCACTGCAGTGAGTTTCACCAAAACACAGTGTAGAACTGGGTGATGACGTCACTCATGAAAAGTGCCACAAAACAAATGAGGAAAAAATATTTTAGCTGTGCAACTTCATCAAATGTGTCACGGTGAACAGAATGTGAACAGAATGACCGGTAAATCCTTTCGTTTGGCTTCAGCTGGAAACAAGTGTAACGTGAAGAAGACAAGCGAGTTTGCTGATGAAATAGTGCACGGAGCTAGAGCTCAAACCAGTTCCCCCAACAGCTGTCTTTCTTCTCTGATCTGCTCATTCTCGTCATACTTCTAAGTTAAAACCACAGCTTCTAAGCTGTGGTTTTCCTTTCCATTATGTGAGCTCCTTTCCATTATGCTCTCGCGTACTTCATTCTCCACTCGCTGGTCTGCGAGAGTAACAGCAGCACTGCATCGGAGGAGCAACGTCACAGCTCGGGCTCTGTCGTACAATGTCTTCTGAAGAGCAGCAGTGTTGTTATGAACGCGAAGGCACTTAACTGAGTTTGCCCTCCAGCTAAAGTACAGTCTACTGCAGTCAGTTAGCATTAGCACTCTTTAAACATTCCAAGAAATTAGACCGTCAACTTCCTAAAAAGTAACCTAATGGTGACCATTGGTGCAGCACCAGCAAGTGTAAATATGCAATTTGGCCATTAAATCCATCACAGAGCCTTTTCTCTCCCTAACTGACACCCAACCGGTTTTCCCCTTTGACTGGCTGTTTGGTTGTACGTTACAACCAGCTCTGAAGCTCATTGTTTATTTATTTTTTGACACATGTTGACTGTGTGGTAGTCATACCAGATATGCATGTAGACTACGTGTTGCCTGCGTGGCAACAATCGGCACATAGGCAGAGTAAACGGGTCAATAATGAGCTGAAGGAGCAGCTACGTTTCTAAAAAGCAAGCAAAATGTGGACTTTCATTGACCGGTTCGCTGGAAACACGACTTCAATTGCATTATCTCATTGTGCAGTTAGACAGCTGTGTGCTAGCTCGTTATCCGTGACAAATCGATAAGATAATGGCATCTCAGAACTGTGTCTCTGGGAGTTTGTTTTAGCGTATTTGTGCCTTTAATTGGTCAAAGTTCCTCAATAGAGCTATAATGTCATGGCGTGTTCAATGAAACCACTGACACTAAATGCAGCCATTTGGGGATTTTGGACCAAATATCCACACCGTTAAAATCAGCTGAAGTCCCACCCTATATTCAAAGTAGCCTCCAGTTCACCGTATACTGTACAGGGTTTAGTTTTTTCTCAGGAGAAACATAAAACTTGGGTTTTGTCTTAAATATACTTTACTATACTGGACAGTAACGTTGGAGTGCCTTGATATTCTAAGTAAGATAAAACAAGTAGTGTTAGCATTGAACAACTACAATTCCCATTAGGTTTCGGTACAGTGCCCATGGCGAAGAGTCACGGGAGCTGGAGCTGATAAATGCTAACAAAGCTTTGTTTTATCTTGGTCATAAGTAGAAGTCTGCTGTCCCATCTTAGAATATGTAAAGAAAACCCCAGAGCCATGTTTCAAAAAGCCAGACACAAAACCTCAGCAGACTCTCTCCAACACCAGTCAACATATCACAAGAACCGGTCCGACAGACAATATTGTCGACAGCGAGGGAGCGTTTCTGTGAAATCAGCTCATGCCAGCCGAGTACAGTCAATGCTCAGTCACTCACCGTGGAGCCTACGTTTAGTCCGTAAACCGCTGGCAGCAGTAACCCAAACCCTCCCAGGGTGAAACATTGTCCAAACAGCAGCCACTTCACTAAATGAGGGCCCTGCACATATCTATTTAAGTGTGCACACAAATCCTCACTCTGACCGCTCTACGACGTCCTATGATCTCTGTCAGTCACCTCTCCTGTACGGTCGGTGCGCAGTGAAGCGCATGAAGATGACGCATGAACAGAAAATGAAAATAAAAGGAGGACTGCATTCGGTGTGTGTGCTTTTAATCCAATCTGTCACGGGGAGGAAGGTTCCAGCAACTACGTCCATCACTATCTGGTTTCAGAGATCCAACATTTTGCAAACAATAATGATTTCTCCGTTCATTGAATTATGTATCAGAACAAATACTGTACTTTATTCTTTTAAAAATGTGCCACTGAGAATTTCCTGCAAGAAGTGCCATCTTCAAGTCTCGGTATAAAAAAACACAGATCCCACAAAAAGGTGATCATGGAGGACTCCAGGGAATTTTCAGTAGATTGTTTTGAACGCGATCGGCTTGATCTTAAAGCGGAGGCACTTTGTCCTCATACTGCGGCGGTGGGGTCAGTGGTTCTATACTGAATCCAGTAGCTGGCAGAGAGTTGTCAATGTTTTTCATGTGCAGCTTCTCTGATTTAATCCTGCGGATCTTGATAGGGAGGAGCTTGCGGCTATTTTTTCCGGGTCTGCGATTTGATGTGGCAGCAGCAGCGGCAGCAGCAGCGGCAGCGGCAGTGGCGGCGGGGGGAGCAGTTGGAGCCGGAGCGGGCTGTGATTCGGTAGTTGTGACCTCCGACCCCTCGAATTCATACTGCACACCGTCAACTTGGACGAGGTCATCGTAGGACGGTAGCTGGGAGGTGCTGGGCCGAAGGTTGCTCTGACGGACGGGGTACTGGCCACTGCACACTGCCTCTTCATAGCTGGGTACAGCGTAACGGTGGGCTTGCTCCTCAGCACTGCAGACATTTATTGGAAAAAAAATGAAAATACAATAAATAAAACAAATCTATCATACATGCACAATATTTGCCAGTTTACATGGTCACATTAATGCTCTGCTCACAGACATAACAACATATTGGAAGGGCTACTATTCATACGGTCCAAATGTTGTTGAGCTTGAACGCTATGGTCCGACTTACGTTTGTCTCTCCTCCTGCTCCCTCGCTGCCACTCCTCCGCGGTTCTGGACCTCCTGAAGCCTCTGCTGCTCCCGCTGTTTGTTCCTCATTCCCAGACACAAAGACAGCAGCAGCATGACCACCCCAGACCCCACCAGGACAAAGGCCACGGAAGACGCTTTGTGTTTCTTGCCACTTGTTACACCGCTGCTGCTGTTGTTGCCGGCCACGTCTGCAGGTACCACGCTCCACACAATCATCACCGTACCGAGGGCGAGAAGCCCCACCCCCAGGGCACATAGTGCATACTGGGAACCTGAGTTTCCACTGTTTTCATTGCTGGTGTTGTTATTGTTGTTGCTGTTGTTGCCAGTACCTTCTCTGCCAACGGGGCCTACTGGTCCATCCACGCTGGAACGCATCTTGTCAGTCCCCTAAACTTCAGTGAGACCAGCTGCAGTGAGGTCAGAAACTGTAGAGAGAAAGGCTTGTGAGGTCAGACACAGACTGAGAAACATACCACACACTGTCACAGAAAGAATAACAGAAACAGAAATCTAAATGTTCAACATAGGTCCTGGCCTGTCTGTGAAATAATACTCGTACTTAACAGACACAATATGTGGCCCCTGACTCTTATGAGCTGGTATTGGAATCACCAGTCAGAGCTATCCCGAACTGAAGATGTTGCTGCTGCTAACACATTTGTTATTTATGAGAGAACAAACCCATTTTTCCGTGAAAATGACAGGACATGAACGTCACTGAGGTAAAACTACCTTTGTAGAGGCTTCTGAGAATGGGTGTGTTGAGTGGTAAAGATTGACAGCAGACTTTCAAAGTCACTAGTTACACAATGCAAACACATTACAAGGGTAGATAAGGACAGCTGTGGTCACTGCAAAGATATATCTTGGCTTTAATATAGATACAACACTTTGCTATGTTGCTCTCTTTTCACAGATTTATTATGTATTGTATTGGTCATTACGTGCTTCCGTGTAAAAGGAAACATTATTAGTTTAGCGTTAATCAAGCTGTTGCACAGAGTAACATGATTCTCTGAGTGTGACCGATCTGCACACATCTACCGCATACTTGTGAGATATCGGTCACAAGGTCACCCTGCAGTGGAACTATTCTATATTTGCTAGATCAGATAAGGACTGCTGGGAACTGTATTTATTTATTATATTTATTATAGTCAATTGAGAACCAGTTCTCATTTAAAATGAGGACCTGGCCAAAAAGGCAGCGACAGGAGGCAAGTTGCTACAAACAAATAAAACATAAGATAGAGACGATTGTTTGTAATGACCTACTGAAGGAGGGTAACGGAATGAGGGTGTGAAGTAAACAAACAAAAACAAAAAGTCCAAAGAATTAACTATCCGTATATTATATTACCTCTGAGGCAATTTGATAGGCCCATAAATTATGTCAGCATGTATATTCTTTCAAACATGCCCAGACCTGCTGGGAGTGTGGGAGTGTGTGTGTGTGTGTGTGTGGGGGGGGGGGGGGGTCTACCCCAGCTTCAATTTGGGAATAGCCTCCCACTGAAGAATGCATGGCATGACACTGAAGTATGCTCATGATGGCAGCAGGACACAGAAACTGGCCCGTTAGCCTCCTACACACACACACACACACACACACACTGCACTAACAAGCTTGTTGTGCAAACGTGAAGATATATTACACGTTATGGACATATTTGTGTGGGACGTGTTACAGTCAAACTTTAAAAGGTTATATTTCACCACATGACAGGTTTTACAGTAAAGTAATACATTGTCATTCAAGCTCATAAAAACAGTCTTTCAAAAAAAAAAAAAAAAAAAGCCCGGTACAACATTTAAGCCCATAGTGTTGTGTGTCATCATGTGTGCGTCTTCCACCAGTCGGAAATAAGTGTCTGAGCCGACTGTTTACCGCTAAAATGACTCTTTTTACTCCGAGTTTATTCAACAGCGTAACTTGAGTCAAATGTTACGACTCTACGCGATGGTATTAGGACGTCCAGGTGTTACGGGTCGGCCGTGTTTGAGCATTAAGTTTCAAAATGAAACGTTGTCTCGCTAACAGACACCGTGCAGTCAGCGTCCGTTAACACTGGGCGGATTGCTTACTTTGACCACCGCGGGATCCGTAGCCTGAAGCAGCGCAACAAAAACTTTCCACATCCTTCTAAAAACTTTGGCTACTGAGTAACTTTTAGTAACATTTCAACGATACAAAATAAAAATAAACTCAGCGAACGAGCACACCGGCTTTACACTCACCCTTGCATCGTTTTGACGACACTCTTCTTTTTGTTGTTGTTGTTGTTGTTCTTCTTCTTCTTCTTCTTCTTCTTCTTCTTCTTCTTCTTCTTCTCAAAGCTGGGAGGTGTGGCGTTTATTTCCACGCTCTGCCGACAGAGACATCAGTGTTTGTGGCGTAATTTGGGGACAAACAGCGTGAGGAAACGGTGAGGAACTTTCCCTGAGACGGATGGGCCCAGACGGAGAGCAAGAGGAAGGAGGGGGCTCACTGATGCACTTCTAGTTTCAAAGTTAACTCTTTCGCTCTCGGGCTGGTTGATGGATGGAAGAGAAAGTATATGTGGGGGGAAATGCGTTTGGCTTTTGTGCAAAAAATTGTCTTCTGTCTTCTGTCTTCTGCAGACGGAAACATAAGCTAGTATCAACATTTGAACGCGCTAGATGATTTACAGTTGAGTTTAACTTTCTTTAAAAAAAATATGTTCGGGACTTTCCTGTAAAGAACTATGTAATTTGGCACTAATTGCATGCAAATTAGAGTCAGTATTCAGTACATTTCTAATTAAATGCTAAGCTAGTGTACCCTAGAGAGAGGCTTTATTCAGAGCTGAACGTGCAAAAACTAAAATGTACCATTTGTCTGCTGCAGGGAGCAAACAAGTCAACACAGCAAGAAAAAGGGGTTTTAATAATGGATGAATATTAAGTTTAAATGAAAATCAACAACTGCTTTTAAACTCGACACAAGTAACAACAATGTCCACATGCACACCACCACCATAGTACTTTTCACTGCAGACGTGGCTCCTTATTTTGGTGGCAGACAATGATGGAAGAAGTAGTCTGCTCCTTTATTTCAGTAAAAATAGCAATATTTTACAGTCTGGTACAAGTGAAAGTCTTCCATTCAAAATATTACAAATTTTAAAGCATCAATTTATACTTAAAGTATAAAGTAAAAGTACTCATTATGCAGAATAGCCCATTTCAGAATAATATATATATTATATTACTGGATCAGATTAATGTGTTTTTCAGTTTAATATTGCAGTTGGTAAAGGTGGGGTTTATTTGAATCTCTTTATATACGTATGGGTAACTTAACCTACAATAATTCACAAGTTGTTAGTTGGTTTATATATTGCATTAACAATCCAAATCTGCAAAGTATTAACTGAAGCTGAAATAAATGTAAAAAAAGGAGTGAAAAAGTACAATAGTTTCTTCATCCCAGTTGGACAGATTTGCATAAATCTCTTGTTGAATTGTAGTTGAATCTCACCACTAAATGGAGATAAAGCTTTCTGGCATTCTGTCTCACACCATGAATGACAACATATAAAACAGACTGAACACCACTGACTCACTGTGTACTCAATACTTCTCCGTGCAATAAACTCTGACAAGTCCATGAGTTTCATATCAGGTTTACGCTACACGACCAGATTTTTACTTCCTCTTTGTAAATTTACCAGCTCACTCGCTGTCGCTCCTTTCGTGCCCTTCGGACAGAACCGACCGTGAGTAAGACCCATCACTTACAAAGTAGTACAGACCTCACTGGTTTTCTACTTGTGTCTATCTAGTTTACATGTTGCAAGAGAGTTACACAAAACAGTAGAACTGGACTCCACTTGGCCCCACTTTCTTGTCCCGGTGTCCTCCTCTGTATCGGCCTGCTATAACTGGACTCTTTCACAATAATGACAAAACCAGTCCCAACCCTGGCCACCCATTGTATTGCTCCCTCTGCGTGAGGCAACCCTGTTGTTCTGGACTCTGGGGAGGTCTTCTTCCTCCTAAGCTTTTGTCTGGATCCTCTGTTGAACCTCACACACACACAGTGAACAAGCCTTGATTACATGGAAGTCCCATCGCTGTCGGCCTTTAAACTAATTAAGTAATGTGTTGGTAGCGAGTATGTTACAGCAGGACAGATAAGCTTGATTTAATGGCTTTATGGCCTTGAGTGTAGCACATTAACTTTTCTCAGGTGGAACTTTGCCTGGCACACCTTTCCTCGTCGTACCGCTCATATCTCAGAGTACGTAGATGGACATCACGTAATGAATTGCCAGATTTTTCCCAACCACGGGTGGGGTGCATGACGGGAAGCTGAATACCTCGCTGCTGTGTCATCCTTAGCTTGCCACAATGTTGCGAGTCACTGTGAGAGGAGGAAGTTGCACCACGTTGTCTTGCCCGGAGGTCTAAACAGAGACTTGAGTTAACTCATTCAACAGGGAGCAGAGAGAGAGAGAAGAGATTACCGGAGTGACTTACTAAAATACTGTGGAGAAATTAGTCAAGAGTCAGAATTAACACACAAATGTAATCGCTGAGTTTAGTGTGGGCCCCTCATTTACATTACATTGGAGGCAATGAACCACACACACTCTCTCATGCAAATGAGTTCAATAAGGAGGCTCGTTTCGCTCACATTTCTCTCACTCTTTAATTCTTACCAGCCATGCACTGTTTTCCTCTTTTATTCATACATTTCCAGCATTTCTATCATTTCCTCTGTATCACACAGTCAAAGATTCTCTCATTCGTACATTTCATACACCACCACTCGTGTGGTGTTTTATGTCGTTATTTTATGGCCATTAAGGGACAGAAAAAGTCCAAACCCGCCTGACAGACATACAAATCTTATATATTATTGTTTCTACATGCCCCAGCATAGGCAGTGCAACATTAGTTGTTATGTGGTGTTGTGTTTCATGGCCGTCTGATGAGTTTTTACTTTTTTTACTCTCCTTCTAGCTCTTGTTTGGCCTCCATCAACTTTTTTTAAAGCTACTCTTTATGTGTGATTTTCTTTACCTGCTAGTTGCAAACTTTGTTGTTTGGTTCTGTACATGCAGCTTACAGTAGGTGTACAAAAAAAACAGGGTTGTTGAGATCTGTAACACTATCTAGTACAGAGCTGTAGAGGTCACTGATAACTCTCTGTAAGTTTGTAATTGTTAGAAACCCCCTTCACATTACATATTGTCATTATATTTATTGTTTTTGTGAAAAAAATACTTTTTTCATTGAACTTTCTGCTGAAGATGGATGCACAGGACTATAAAATGTAAGACGTCATCTTTATTTCATTAAAAGGAACTTTATCATTTTTACATATATGCATCCTCACATCTTTCAGCCCTGAGGCTTCTATGGACATACTTCTCTGCAGTCATCTTTTGTTGCCATTGTTCAATTCTTTTTTCCACATTTACTTCACAGTATAAAACATCAGAAGAGGGTGCTACATCTGTTGAGACACGACTGTGTAAATGTGCAAGATGAAAAAAATGACTATCAAACATAAACTCTAGAATTTAAAATTCAATTCAAGTCTTTTTTTCCCCTCCACTGTCCTCAGCTACACTGACAAGGCATCACAAACAGCAGAACTGAATGAAACAAGAACAATTTACATTGATATGAAACTTTTTTTTCATTTTGTCATCAAGTACCCTGTATTATACAAAAAGAAAAATTCTAATTTCCCTCAGAGAAACAGTCACTAGCATCCAGTCAACAAAACCAAATTGCCAAGTCAAATCCTGATTCACAAAGAACCATTTAGACACAAAAAAAAATAGAAAAATAATCATTTATTAACTTGCGTCCTGCATCTCTTGATTCAGGTGAGAGAAACCCCTGCCCTCTGACATCAACATCAAAATACCACCTGCGCACAACGAACATTTTGTTAAACCAGGAGACTTGTAAAAAATAATCCTGTCTTGTTTTAAAAAGTGCAATCTGTCCTGTAAGTTCTCATCTCTGGAGAAAATAACCGTCTCATGTTCAGGTACACATGACAAACGTCCATGGTGTAGATTTAGCTGTGATGAAGCTGGCAACCGGTGTTTGGTCTCACTGTGATGACGTCAAACGTTGGTGACCTCGATGCTGGTGTAGCCGTGGATCGGGCTTCCCTCAGCTCTGGGCGGAGTCTGGTCTCGAACCTCCCGAGGCAGGGAGCCGTAGCTGCTATGACAACTCAGGTCTCGCCCATTGCGAGCTTTGGGGCTGAAGCCTGTTGGAGGCTGAAACACACATTTGTTTTTTTTTGTTTTTTTACCACAAATACACTCAGACAAGGCCCTGCTTACTTGGTGCTTGTGATGAACTATTCTCAGTAATTAAAGCACCTTTTTCCATTTCAGCCTAGATGTAGTTTGTGTCTTGTATCATGTATTAATTCATGTATTCATACGTGCCACACAGATTGTCTTATCTGCACCGATCTCATTAATGTTGTACGCCTGCTATGTCAAATCTGTTATTTCTTCAAATTTCTTCTTATGTGTTCGAACTAAGCTCCATGTTTTAAGCAACCGAGCCTGATTGTCATTCTTCCTTAAAAACATAGGCTGAAATTTAGAGAAACAACTATGAAAGGTTCAAGAAGAGTACCCCCCCACACACACACACACACACACACACACCTTGACAGCCCTCCTCCTCAGCGAGCCTTCGTCATCCGTGTGTCGGCCGGTGGAGCTGGGCGGTCTGCCCAGGGAGTTCTGGCGAAGGAGGGTCGGTGGTGTTCCCAGGTCGAGGTGCTCGTAGTCCTGCTTGGCATCCGTCCTGAAAGGGAACATGGGTTGGAGCAGAGAGTTGGGGACAGTGACCTCAAATAGCATTTAAAAGACACCAGAACAAGCAAATATACGGCATCAGCGATTGTCCCCTTCAGGTTAAGCAACTCTTATCTAATCTTTTTATATGTATAGCCTTAGTGGGATCGGTCTCTCGGTGAATGTCTCCTCTCACCTGGCTGGGACAATCAAGGTTTTCATCTCCTCAACAAGGTGTCGGCGGACCATGTGCTTGTTGCTCGGGATCCCCAGTGCTGTTGCCATGGCGTCAACGTTAAAAGTGGGGTCAAGCACCATGACGGCGCCATGAACTCCACTGCTGAGAAGACTTTCTGCAAACTCCTGGACAGGTGGAGGGGAAGAAGGCCAAAGAGTGACTGATTTTCATTTGTAAGATGGAATGTGAACTCTTCTGATGTAACACCGTGCACACTGCCGGCTAAAGGAAAAGGCACTGATATCAACAGGCTTACAAAAATGATGCCAAATTGGCTCCGAGACAAAGAACATATTGATTCATTTGTTAATGTGAGCATGAATTCACACTCCCTGAGGACATTAACAGGATGTCAGACCACGCGGCCTTTATCTTTACACACCTTGAATGTGGTGCTACCTCATAATGTTAACATGTTGTCCCATGTCAAGACAATGTTGACTTGGGACATCCAGCATCACCATAGAGGCGGTATTCTAAAAGGCTTTGTAAACAACTGGAGCAGCAAAGAAATACATTAACAAAGACCTTCTATCACTCTGTGGAGATAGGGAGTGCTGAGTTAACACAAGTGCCTCAGTTACCCACAATACCATGTGATAGTGTTCTTATAATACTCAATACATTACTATCTCTTGGTTATTAGTATTTAATGCCAATATTTGTTTTGTTGCAACGACTGTAGCTCCAATATAATAATAATACATTGTTATGAGTTGTTTATGAGTGTTTTACATGTGTTCAGTCTTAAAGGTGCATTCTCTATCTCTCTGTCCTCACCCTCAGGTCAATTTCCTTGATCCATTTCATGACCCGGTGAGAGGTCCACACCAACGGATCCACATTCTGGTGCTCACACTGTATCCGACGAGCCTGCAGTGCCTGGAAACAATTTTCAACAGAAACCTTTTACTCAACCGTTTTCACCTATACTGCTAGAGCACAGCCGAGTACATTCACGGTCGTGAACACGGCGCAGGAAACTCACTTACCTCCTTGTCAAAATTGAGTAAGTGCAGCAGTTCGATGCCCAGCAGCAGGCTGACCTGGTGGAACTTCTTGGTGATGTTGAGGTGGCGTTCAAGGTCGCGACGTGTCAGGGAGTTCAGCAGACGCCCGTCTACCAAGTGGTTGTGAAAGGCCTGGGAGTACTGAGGCAGGCCCACGTCACTTAACCAGGCTTTGGCAACCCAGTGGTGGTCCATGTCTGCAGCCTTGGACAGCCTGCAGACAATTTAAATAATAACGTTTGTGGAAGGGTCACTTCACCTGAATCACTGGGGTATAAATCCATGAAGATGTACCAGTGGCTTTGCTGTCTGTTTGTTTGATCCATCACCGTGGTCCAGACTTAAATATCTCAACAGCTATTGGACGGCTGACATTAATGGTTCCCAGAGGAGTAATCATGCAGACTTTGGTGATGCCCTGACCTTTGCTCGAACACCACAATGAGACTGATATTTGTGGTTTTGAGTGGAATGTCTTGACATTTGGATGGATCCCAAACAAAACAAACTGTCTGCAAAATTTCAACCTGGTACTATCCAGAGTAACAGGGGCACTGACTTTGGAGAGGCACATTGCTGTTGAATTTTGGATGCTAATGAGGCTGCATACCTCAAAACCCACACTAGCAGCTGCATGGGTTACACACAAGCAAGTGAGAAAATATGTTTTTATGTGTGTGTGTGAGATTTAGGTGAATTGATCCTTTAACCTGTTTAATATAGCTGTTCACAGATCACTATCTTATTGCTGCGCTTATAAAACGCACTCCTATGGAGAGTTTACAGTTTAATTGACCTGCATGTCATTAATTTGAATGTGAAAGGAGGAAACTTTCAAAACTAGCGTTACAGCGAGACTGTTGCATTTATTGTAGCTTCGTGTTTAAACATGTATCTCTCTATTTAAAGTCAATATTGTAATTTGTAAATGTTGTGACTATAAATCACCAACAGATGGCCCTCTTACATTACCACATCGTGTACAAGTTTCCACAAGAATTCTCCGTGTCCCTTCCTCACCCTCTACCATTCTCAGCATCTCTGTAATCCTCAATGGCCAGGCGGAGTTTCCGGCGATGCATTAAACTGCTGACACCTAAACCCAGCTCCAGGTCTTCATCCGTTAGTCCAAGTAAAACCTGCAAAATGTGATACTGTTTAGCAACTAAAGCCACAAAGTGTCTTCTAAACGAGGTGGATAGAAAAATAACAGATTACATAACTGGTAATGCATTTGCAGCAGTGAACATGCTTTTAAGAAAAATGCAAAGTGAGTCCACCTGCATGATGTCAGTGGTTTCATCCTACCTTTCCACTCTTGACATTGTCTGAGCAGGTGCGGATGTACATTGGCATCGCCATCACAACCTCCAGCCAGGCCTGCACGGTGCCGGCCCTCCACTGGGACATGGGCGTCATCCTGGCCAGCTCCACCTGCTGGAGGCGGTCCAGCTGGTCCTCCGACCCGTCGGACAGGCTGAGGCTGTGGCGGGTGGGGCTGGAGAGGCAGTCTGAGTCTAAGTGGGAGGGTGAGGAAGGGGGGGGGGTATGTAGTTGAGGGTGTGAGTGAAGGCAGAGGTGGTAGTGGGTATAGTGAGCAGTGAGAAAGCAAAGAGTTAATCCCAACACACTGCAGAAATTTTAAAAATCAGTTTAACATAAAATCTGCTCAGTGGGGTGAAGGGAACTAGACATGAATAATTTCTTAAAAACAAACCCGCTCTAAACAACATCATAAGCTTTTGGCTGCATGACAACAAGCCGAAGTGTTTGCCAGGGACGCTGTAAACAAAGTTGCAGCTTTTATAAACAAGCTCATCACTTAAGAAGTCCATTAAACAGGCAGCTGTTTGAGCTGTTGAATTAACACGACCGTCTAATCTGTCTAAATTAGCCTGCAGCAACAGCTCCATGAAAGCAAAAAAAGCCTGCAATTTAGAAAACTAAGTTCCATTTTGCTGCATTATGAAATCGGACTCACAAATTAACTATAGGGTAAATTATGCCTTGAAATTGTAATGTGTCCTTTAAATGCCCCTTGAATTATTCCCTATAGCCTTGGAATGCTTGACTGTTATGTTACAAAATTGGGCCAAATGTTTCCCATTTACTTTTTTCTCAAGATTTCAATATATATCGGCCAAAAACGCAGTTCAATTTGTTTAACTGAGAGACATTTCTCTGTCTTTACCAGCAGGTGGCATCCTAGTAGCAGTTCTAAGCTCAGCAGTTGCCAAGGCCTGAAACAAAGCATCCACCTGAGATGTCAAAGGACGGCCTCAGAATCTTGACCCGCCAAAACATCCACTTTGTTTCAGTAGAAAAATAGAAATGTAAGATGGAATGACGCTCGCTATGTGACTCATTCAGTTTGAAGTGTTGCCTGGAGCCTTCAACCTTAAAACAGACCCCAACTAAAATATTCTTGGTCTCTTTGTTTCCAAATTTTAAAAAAAACCTCCTTTATGGCAAGCTTTACAGCACCGATGTGTGCTGGTCCAAAAAAGAGATTCACCGTTAAATGATGGCAGGCTGGTATGAAACTCAATGTCAGTAATTCATCTCAAGCTGGATGCTTTTATGTGCCCTCCTAAGAGCTATATGTAAACTGAAGGTGCACTTCTAAGTGGCCCTCTGAGAGCAATTCATATTAAGTAGAATAAATCAGCTTTTTGGACAGAAAAGCACTTTTGTCCAGATAAAAGGTCTGTTTTTCAGTTCTTACCGAGGCACGCCACATAAGAAAACCTCACTGTCTAACATGCAGTTGAAGGCCAAACTTCTGGAGACTGGACTGAGCTGAGAGTCGGTTCCTCCTGTGGGGCTGACCCTCTTGCACCTTTTTAAAAAACAACACTGAAAGCGGAGAGCGTGGTCAAAAAGACATCCGACAGCGCTGTGGCCGCACTACTGTGAATAGTTTTCATCCTTTATCTGAGCCCATGAGTGTTAGGTGCCTTTTGTAAACAGTGATGGATCGCGAGGGCTTTTGTGTGGAGAGAACTGCAGTGAACGCAGGAAACGGTTTTGTTCAAGCAATCAGTCCTCAAACGTGCCCTTCAATAGCTGGTGTAATGGATGTTATTGCTACAACACGGCAGCGTTTCTGATGTGATGTCACACTCGGGATGAGAAATGGAGGAGCAGGTAGTGTCGTGTACCGAAATGCATGCGATACATTTGTTAGATATTTGACATTTTTCAGATTTTGCTATGAAAAATGTTTTACAGTTGAATGGACCAAGATGTCCAGATGGACATTTAAGATGAATTATTACATCCATGATGAGTAGAGAGCCTTAAATGAACACATCTATATGTTGGGAAATGTGCTTATCCGCTTTCTTTGGACTGCTGGCTGTAGCTTGAATTTCAGTTTAAAGGAAGTTAATAAAAGAATAGTTTGAGATTCCGGGGGAACACGTTTACATTCTTGCCGAGACTTAGATGAGAAGATTGATACCACGCAGTAAATATGAAGCTACAGCCTGTTTCAAGTCTATGCTAAGCTAACCGGCTGCTGGCCTTAGCTTCATATTTAACTTACAGACATGAATGTAGAATCAACTCTCCACAAGAAGGCAAAGAAGTGTATTTCCCAAAATGTCAAACTATTCTTTAATCTGCTAGATTCATGAGAATCTGTTCAATCTGAAATCTGTGTTCAACTCATAGAGGAAGAGACTTCAATGCAAGAGGATGCTGTTCTGTTATCATCTGTTGCTCCCGACAGCACATCACATTACGACAGCGCTCAACTGTTTTTGGATGATTTGCATCCGAATTAGATTGAACTTGAAGAAGTGCTCAGTTCCAAGGTCATTCTGTGATGCTGTTTGAGAGTCAGCAGGCATCTGCAAACACAGCTTGCAACCCAGCAGCACAGCTCATTTTCAAAGCAATTGGAACTTGTGTACCTTGGTCTTACTGAGTCTGATTGATTACTTCGAGGGTCGCTTCACTGTGTTGAGAGTCCGGAGGAGGTCAGGCAAGAGGGGGGTCAGTGTTAGAGGTCAGGGGTCAAATCAAAGCAGAACATTATTGACACCATGTGCTGACACGTATGAGTCCTGTTCCAACAATCTGACATGGCTTCCTTTCCAATCTCCTCTGTTTTCTGATCATTGATTTCAATATCGAAGAGGAAGAAGTAATTCTTTCCTATTCTTCATGAGGAGTTAGAATTGGGAAAGAGAGGAAAGGAGGCCATTTGGAAGCTTTTGGGGATGCAGTCCTCTCACAGACGGACTTGCGGGGCCGAGGGAGGCTAACGCTCGTTAAAAATGGCAGCCGCTCCAGCATAGAGGGACGAATCAGGATTAGAGGCACACCAAGACAAATGAACATGTGAACACACAGACGTTAACACAGGGAAAGAGAGGACAGCCACATGGAAGTTCAACGTTATTTATTTTATTTTAAAATAATCTTATTCTTAGCTCTTTTGAGCGTAATTTTGTTGCCATGCCTTTAAAAGTTCGCTACTATATCCACTTCTAAACATCTCAGGACCTCACAATAGAAGTCCTCCAATGAGGCCTACATCTTTAACTTTAAATAAAAACTCTTTTAATAATAATATTAATTTTATTTCTGTAATTTACAAAAAAGGAAAAATATTTGTGGAAAATAAAAAAACAAACAAAGAGACCGTGGCTCAAAACATAAAAATCATACAATGTTTTTCATTTGATATGTTTTTTCCTCCCCCTCAGCTGAGGTTGGTTAAATGAAAAAATAGCCTCGACTTCCATACATCTCATTAAATGCTTAATGAAATAAAGTGGTTGAGCTGTTGTTCTTATACATACAATTAAATACATGGTGACTTATCTATGAATTACCTTCGGGATTCACCTCTAAATCCAATATCTGCGAGCCCCAAATGCAGCTCGAGCTAAATGATAATCTTTGACAAGCACTGTGTGTGGAACACAGCTCCATTGTAATCTGTGACTCTGTAGTGTTTCAGATGAGACTGACAAATACCCAGTGTTAGTTTAATATCAGGGAGAGAAACCATTTCCTGGGGGTGGCAGTGCAGACTCCGGCTACATCCAATGAAAGGAGGAAAATAATCCAATGTCTCTAGTCATTCTTGTGCTTGAAGAAACGCCATTAACCTTTGGCACAAAGTTAATTGCTTTTTTTTTTTTTTTTTTTCAGCTGGTGGCGTGAACTCTGCATCAGAATTTGGGGATCGTGGGAGAAGGTATGCGTTTGCTTCAGTTTGATTAGCCCGCTTAAATCTGATTTTTAAGCTCCTGGGTTGGCACTCGTTATTGTTACAACAGTTCATTTAATGTCTGCTCCGCGCTCAGGCCTCTAAATTGAAGTTCAGATTTTCTGGTAAAGTGACCTAATTCCTGAGGTTCCTTGACCATCAGTATAATACCTACGATATCCTACTCATGCTATGATAATAGCTTTCTTTTTTTAGACCAACTTTCCCCAGATAAATTTCACTAAGGTTACAAGCTACTGTAAGATCCTACAGTAAGAAAATGGTACAAAGCCTCATGAATAAGTATGATAATTACTTAAGCATTCAAAGTGTAGTGCTGGGTTTTCTTTGTGACTGTTGACTTCGCTGACCTTTAATATATTTGAAATGTAAGTTTGTATAAAGAGCCTTGTAGGTGCAGATTAAAATGTTCTATGTTCAGTTTGGGATGTTAAGCTCTTGGACACTGATCAGAACGTTTTTCTGAATAACAATTAAAATCATGAATAAACATGAAATTAGTAACTGACCTCTCTTTTTTTTTTTTAAACCCCTCCTCGACAACATACCCAGAGAAATACATCTCTGTTCAGCAGGGGTTTTGTTCAACATGCATTTGGGGACTGGGACTATGTGCATGCATGTCACACATGTACCTCAGGCATGTACCTTCTATCTTGACAGATAGAAAACACATTTCTTACATTTCCTGTTTGGCTTCATGTTGATGTGGAACAAACTGTTCTGCATAGAAAGTTTACTCCTCACTTAGCAGCGTCTTTGAAGTCTCATTTGAGCGAACATCAAGGAGTGCAGTTTTCTTGGCGGCTGAGGGATGTGTTGTACGACCGAATTAGAGGCGGATTTGAGGAGTCTGCATGTTTGCCGACAGGAAACTGTTCTCATCATGGCAGTGTGGAAGGAGGGGGATGGACCAAGCAGGACAATAAACAGGGAGGAGTTCAAGTTAAAAAGGTAGTGAGGGGAAGGGAGTACATGTCAAAAATAACCAAAAGGCATTCAGGACAAGGAGACATTTACACGCACAGAGTGCACATCAACTGTTGTTATTTACAAGTACAGCAGTCCTTCAAGTTTCCAGTTGAGTGAAAACAAAAAGTCAAAATGTAAAGAACAATTCAAAGATCCAGTAACACAGTTGTTTTGGAGGGGCAGATACAATAGAACATATCCACATGGTCGCTGTGTCACACTGTCCACTCTATTTACAGGACTGTACATACATACAGGTGCATTTTGCTTGTTAAGGTTTACACTTCAGCGAAGCAAGACGCGCCTCCGGCTCCTCACATGGCCTCTGATCATGGACGACACACGCATGCAAACACTCTCACACACATGGAAGTATGGATGTGTGTGAGACTGTGCAGGCAGACACACACATTATTTTAGCTGTACACACTGACATCAAACACACACCCATCCTCTCTCTCACACACACACACACACACACACACACACACACACACACACACACAACACAATGCTGTCTTCTGATCACCGCCACAAAAGGCTCTCCAGCTGGTTCGCTTGGACATGTGTGCTTTACCAGTCTGCGTCTTCCTCTATGTAATAATCAGGCGTCGAAGTACCATCAAACAAACCAGGGTCAAGGGACTTGCGCTGCTTCCCCCGGGCGAAGACACGCGACAGAGAGCCCAGCCCCATCTTCTCTTTCTTCTTCTTACGCTTCGCCTCCTCCAGATCTTCTAGGGACTGAGGGAAGAAAGAGAAAGAGACAGCAGAGGGAAGGAGAAGATGAAGACACGGTCAGAAGGAACAGAGTTACAAGAGCAGAGAAGGCCGGCAGAAGTGGTGCAGAGTGGGCGATAAAGACCGGGAAAGATAGAGATCACAACACAAAGGGGAAGTCCCTTGACATGCTGCCAGGCATTGCAATTATGCAACAACCACAAACTGGTTTCCACATCAATTCAAGTCACAGCTGCAGAGTGAGTACACGACAAACGCTGCGTGGGGCAAACATGAATTCAGCCAGAATGACGGCGGAAGGAAACGACAGCGGCGAAGGAGCAGTGCAGTCGGCAGTTACTACAGAGGAGGTGATTACTTGGGAGGGAGAGGTGGTGGGCAGCTCTTACATTGCAGAGGGAGTGAGTCCGATGGCGTGGCGAGTTGATGTCGCTCGGTGTGGATGACCGGTCTCCCTCCAACGCCGAGGCATCGGAGATGATGGAGGGCTGACGCGAGTGGCACGGGCTCACTCGCACGGCAGCCACTAAATGGGACAAGAGGGGAAACAGATAAGACTTGTTTTCTTTTTTTTGGGGGGGGGGTTAGTGGGCACCAAAAGTAGTGAAGAGGGCACATCGGATTCTTCTCAACACTGCCACTACATCCTAAAACGAAAATATATCAAAAAAAAGCCCCGGACCAATAGCCGAAATTATTCGCAATCATCCGTAGTTGCTAAGCAACAGTGAAAACAACTTCACAGAGCGAGTGTGTGTTTGTGTGCGTGTGTGTGTACCAGTGAAAATTATATACATATAGTACAGCCAATTGCATTGTTCGCGACTGTTCACATGTTTTCTCTCTTTAAGTGTCTTTGTCGGCTTCTTCCTCCAGATGTCCCCAACAAGCCGTTTGAGCTCCAGGATTGAGACGGACGTCTTCTTTGGTGGAAGCAAGGCTAGTTTGTGTCGGCTGAGATGGTGCCGGTAGTCCTTAGGTTTAGAAATGTTTAGTCGTACATTTTTTTTGAAGTTTTGTTTCTGTGTGGCTGGCCCAGACACTTTGATGACACTTTACTATTCATTCTGAGGGGGAAGATTATTTAACTATAATGTTACTTCAGGACCAAAGCTTTTTCAGAATAACAATTTAAAAATATTTTTTAATTTACCACGTACTGACTCCCCTGTGCAGACATTTGATGCTGAAAAGGCAAAACGTTTTTTGAACTTTGATAACAGGCCCTGATTATAGATCAGGATGAGTCACGGTTAGCTAGCTGCACTGCTGCAGTGCAACACAGGAAACGAAAGGACACGGTTCTATTTGCCAGCCGGAGTGACACAAGTCAAAGTGGCTGAGCTAGGCATGGGAAAGCTGCCTATTAAGTGTTTTGAATTTCAAATGGGAGTCAATGACTATTCTTGCTTCGGCTTGCAGTTTGCGATGCACTTTAGCTGCAAATGTGTGCCTGTAGGGTGTTTTTCCACCGCCTTTGTGAGCACAAGTCAGTTCAATGGTGACGCTGCAGGAGCAGGTGCTGAAAAGTAGAAATAGTGGCCGAAAAAAGCAAAATATAGATTAAAGTTTGCCTTACAAGATGGGTCAATTTACTGCAACATCTAAGACAAAACATATGAAGTAAATTCACTTCTAACAGACAGGAACAATACTTAACACCCAACTGATCCTCAGCTGCCACCACTTGTCAAATACAGAGGAAATATTTGTGTGCGGCAAAGACAAATGGAAGCTGTAAAAATCCCAAAATATGTCCAGTGTAACGGCTACATAAAGCGCATGAAATGGAGCGACCGGAGCATCGCCGGTGGACATCGATCTGGTCGTACTGAGCAGGAGACGGGCGTCAATGTGTGTGAAGCAGGTTCACGTGAGCATGCAGAGGCCAGAGGACGGTAAAACCAGCAGGTCACGTCGTTCCTACCTTGTCTGTCTGTGGGATGGCCCGTGTGGACGTAGAGGGTCTGCTGACTCTGTCTGATGGCAGCGGTCAGCGGAAGGTCAGCCTGCATCACCCACTCCTGGTTGTTGCCGTTGACAACCGTTTCCGTGGGCATGGCCAGAGAGTGACGCTTGGGCACATCCTTGGTCAGGGTTGCTAGTGACTGTTTGGCCTTGAGAAGGTAGACAGATGGATGCAATCAGTCAGAAAGAAGAGCAAATTTGAGTGAATTGGTGTTTTTTCTCTGTGTTTTCATTGTTGTTATTTATGTGTCATATGTGTGCACATGTACATGTCGAGTTATGTATCCAGAATCCTACGAAGTCTCCCGAGTGCATGCAGGCAAGTGAGTTCTCCCTTGGGCTCCTCGTGTGGTTGTCGCCTCATGAAAAATGCAGCTGTGTTCATGTTCGTCTTTTGTTGTGTGAAATCTCTCCTTACCACTCCAGAAAGCCGGGGAGAAGAAAAAAAAAGCAGGAGAAAAATATCTGGAGGTTTTTTGCTGTTTGCTTCCTTTTGGGGAACAAAGTCAGGGGATGGTGTGGTGTGTAAAAAAAATGGATAAACTGGGAAATTATGAAGCTTTTCTTGAAGTTTTCTCAGCTGAGCCTCCACACAAAGTACAATTCGCCATCTTTTAGCAGGAACCACAGTGAGCTGCTGGAGCCTTGGGAGATGTGTTTTTGCAAGTGTATTTTGTGTCAAACGTTTGGTTTCTTTGTGAGTGCGTTTTCTGATTAGCCTCGACTTGTTGCCGTTTCACAAATGCTTCAATTGTTGTTATTGTGCAAACCGTATCATCATGCCAAGCAACGACAGGCTGCAAATCAACACTGAAGCAATCAGCTTCGTCTCAATCATCTCCACCTACCAGCGGTCTAACGATTATCAATCATATAGCCCATGACATGCAAAACAGAACACAATCACAAACCTCTGGACTAATCATTAGTTGTCAGAATATTTCCCCCCCCAAGCATTTCTTCGCTTAATTAAAACCACATTCAGATCAATCATAGCGGGAACCCGTGGGATCACTGATGTTAGGATCACTGGGATCGATCAGGGTCGGCTGAGGGTTAGTCAAAAGAAAACGTCAATTAGGTCACAAGTAGGAGAGATTTCCAGGGAGCGGGAGGGTCAACAAAGGTACAATTTGAAAACTGGGGGACCATCTTACCGCCATGACCCTAGGAGAGTAGTCCCTGTCCGCAACCCGCTCAAACACCCGGATCTCCATTCTCTGATTGACAGAGTTACTCATCTGAGGGTTGGAGACATGACGGATGGCTATGCTGTACATTCAAAGGCGTTCTTTGTTTGACTATATGCAGTATAGACAGACAGACGTGCTACCTTTAAAACAGTGAAACACATGAATCTTATAATTTGGACTTTCCTTTTTGTATCTTTATACGTATATTGCTACTATTTGCTGTGAGTATGATGTCTTCCCTGATCTTGTCAGTAGTTTCAACTTGTGTTGAGCCTTGTTAACTGTACTGGTTGTGTTCAGTATGCATCAAGTGTCCTTTATTCTTACCTATATTTACACACGTAATGAATACAAAGTATAAACAAAAATATGGAGAAAATCTAATTTAACAATGTCAAAGAAAGAGATAAATGTTTTTTAAAAGCATTTAAGGGAGTCTGTCTCTCCGCCTGCTTGTCTGTCTGTCTGTCTAGTTACCCCCCCCCCCCCCGTCTTCTGTCTGTCTGTCTCACCATGGCCAGTTCAGCCTCCAGCTCCTTGATGCGGTTCTCCTTGAGGTCGAGCTGGGAGCGCAGCATCCCCGTGTGCTCCGAGGCTTCCTTGGTCTGCCGCCGCAGGTCCCACTTCTCTCGCTCCAGCAGGTCCTTCTCTTTGGCCAGTGCCTTCACCGCATCCTCGCTCTCCTAGTAGACACAGAGATCCTGATGGATTGTTTCACATACCAAGCATGGCCTCGAAAAATAAACCTGATGAGTCAAACCTGGTAAATAAAGGCACCGAACCAAAGTCAAGAAGAAGAGAAGGTTCTAAATTGCCAATTTCACTACTTCCTGTATTGTCTTGTCAGTGATTTTCAAATGACCACAGCCTTCCTAACCTGCTGTATTTGTTAAGTTACAGATCCGGAAATGATAACATATAATGCACCAGCAATACATATACCTGAACATCTAATCCTAAAGCCAAAACAAACTCAATGTGTAGTCATGTAAACATCGTCACAGTCACTCAAGTTAAATATGCAGAGAGCTTAACAATTCTCTTTACACTTGACTGGACTGTGCACACAACTGTAACATATTCCTATCAAGAGCATGCACACACATTTCTGAGGAACAACACATGTGTTGACTTATTTATAAAACCACTAGTTGTTGTTGCTTGGACAGGCCTTTTTTTTGCGCCAATGTGCATCCAACCAACACAGCAAGAAGAGACAAGAAATGGGTGCCATACTTTTCTGTGCTGCTCATAGTTGCGTATGAAGTCGCGGAGCTGCTCCTCCCGGCTCTCCAGCGTGGCATAAAGCTGCTGCATCTGGTTCACCAGGTCTGCTTTCTCCACCTTCAGGCGCTTGCGGTCCGACTTCATGGCTGCAAGGAAGATATGAGAGAGAGAGAGAGAGAGAGAGAGAGAGAGAGAGAGAGAGAGAGAGAG